TGGGAAGCCAGAATGCGCATCCATCAACAGAAACATACATTAGCCGAACCGTGTTTGTTTTACGTGTTATTTATAGCAAACCATACTACAGATGCGTTGTCAGATTTAAGTTGAACCGCGGTCGTAGCGTGTGCCGAACCGTGTGTGGAGAACCGTACGGTTCGATTTTTTTCCGCGAACCGTTCCACCCCTAGTGACTTCTGTGTGAGCTGTGCTTCACACATCACTATACTATAGACAACAGACAATGCACCATTTGTGCTTGCAAAATTTCGCAAATGTCACTGCACATTTAGCCCCAATTACGCAATGTATCTGTCAGTGGCATCGCTGTCAGTCTCACTGTAAGTTTGTGAAAGACAAGCTGATGCCATCTTTGAGTTTAAATGAGAAGTCTTTTGTAAGCAGCTCCTTGCTGTGAGTTAGATTGAATAGATCTGGACGACAGTAGCAGTATGAGTCAGGGTGGATCTGTCTCTGATTGTTTTGGCCATTGTTTTGATGAGACTTTGGCCATAATAACCTTCAATCGCTCTGCAGGATACAAAAACTTCACAGAGTCTGAAGAATCAGACTGATGCAGGACATGCTGGAGGAAGATCCAGCCGTATGACTTCACCTCAGTGGGTGCAGTGCTCACAATCTCTCATCTGAAGGCTTTGAAGCTGTCATCTTAAATTACTGCTGCAATGGTTTTCAGAGAAAAACATTTTCTTAGGGGGGTTTGTTATTCGGCATAAACAGCGAGGGGTTCCTAGAAAACAGGCCACGATTGCAATGATCCACCTCAGTGAACGTGTGTGGATTCAATGTTCAATCCACATCTCTTTTTCTATCCTCATTAATAATATTGCCCTTATCTGCACCCTGTCTCTCTGTCTCCCCGAGGAGCCGCCCTGGATTCTGAGATATTGTGTCGTGTGGCTTTGTGAATGCCATGTTTTGTACTTTTCTATTTTTACCTTCTGGCTTGCTCAGCAGGGTTGAAAAGGTCCAGATTACCTTTAAACAAACCCAGAGTTTAGCTGAGCTCCCTGGAACCTTTCCCCTTTGGAAAGGGCAAGAGTTGCAGAAAAATCTCCCAGACCTCTGAGTCGCCCTGAAGCGATACTCAGTTTGATTTAAAGCCAGATGGGAAAGAAGCACGTAGATTTCCTGCCGGCACGAAGGGTGGAGATACACTTGTGTCTATGAGAGTGAGCGGGTCTGTGGGTTGAATCTGGGTCAGGTTGATGTGGATTTCTTTGCATCTCCTGCTTTTTTGCAGGTGGTTAGTGAATATGATGTAGGGTTTTATGCTAAAATACCATGCACAAAAAATGACAATTGTTAAGTGAATTTGCTCTTTTGTGTTCATGCTACATTTTATCCTCACATTCTTATACCTCCTATGAATACTTCAGTAAACCTAACTAGATATCTGAAATATTTTTGTTTCACTGCAAAAGAATAGAACAAATGCAGTATCTTGAACATCTCATTCTTGTTCTTAAAACTCTGTTATGCCATAAATTGAAAGCATTACCAGTCATTTTGTCATCTCACTACACATACATTACCGGCATACAATGAAAAGGCTCCTGTGGTGGCGGTGCTTATAAAAGCTGTAATTTGTGGGTGTGTGATGGTGGATAATCTGGATTTTTCAGGTTTGTAGCTTTTTTCTGCTCGGTCTCAGCATGAGACTATGCACAGCTTCAATTATCTGTCACCCAGGATCTGACAAAAGGAAGTGCATCTATTCTGGAAGTCACTCGTCTTTCAAGCTCAACCGCTTGTAAGAGGCGCCCAATGAATTTCGGCTTAGCCTCAGAGTTGAAGACAAGCCAGCACCCTCACTCAGTCAGCATGGAAGAAAGCCGATTCAAACTCAAATCTAACTACTGTGATGTGCTCTTGGCATTCACGGCATTTGGTGAGTTTACAGGATGAAGGGCATTATTTTATAAGTGCTAAGTCTGAATTTCTCTGGCTTTCATAGATAGCACTTAATATACAGCACATCAATAAAAATTACTCTGAAAAGTGATTCGTACTCTCAAAGTGTAATCTATCTTCACATTTTCAGCATGTATTTTTTAAACACAGAGTTTACAGTGATCATTCAATTATGTTACAGTGACACGCTGAATAACCTTAGAGGAATGGGCGTTATTTAAGTGGAGCTGGTTACAATTTGACAGACAAACACACTGTACTTACGAAGAAGACCTCACTAAACAACACAGTGACGGTGATTCGGAGACAGCCCCTTACCGTATTCTCTGTGAAATTGTAATCCAAGGAGTACTGTAATTTGCCAAGTTTCTCTTCTTCCTTAGGCTCCACCTCTTTCTCTGTATCCGTCAGCCCTGTTTCCGCATCATCCTCATCCTTCAAGGCCTGAAGGAGACACCCACTAACAGTCAGTCCTGTCGGCCCAACGCTGGCGCTGCCCGATTGCCCTCGCCAGAGCGCCGGGCCAGCCCTGGACCATCCTGCTCTTCAACCGCACCTCTATTAGGGGGGGAGCAAGCACTAAAACACCACAGCAATTAAGACCATGACATGCTCAATGATGCACTAGACTTGGGCTGTGAACCCCCTTCTCTCCTATGATCTGATATTGTGAAAAGTTGTGAAAAGAGTTGCAAGAAGATGAACTGAATGAGTGCAAGCAATTTAGGTTGGTGGGAAGGGAAAGGCTAGGGCTGGGTGGTATTGGCTGCGCATATGGTGCTGTATATAGCTATTTTACAATGGCTTTGGACTTGGCTCATCCAATCTATATATATATATATACCGGTACTGTGATATAAAATTACTTGTACAATTGTTGGTCATACCGCCCAACCCTAGGCAAGATGAGCAGACAGATATTCTTAAGAAATACATTGTACAATACATTGTCATTTATGTTATTTCAGGCAGAACAATCCCTGGCATCAACAAATCAGTGGGTAAATGTTGTGGATGGTGTGGCATTAGCTCCCTAGCTAGCCAGAGTTTAAGACAGTGGCAGTGTTAAGGGGATGTCGAGGGAGGTTTGTTGTCACTGGAAAGCATGCGATTTTCGAGGCAAACTCAGCTCTCAGTTCATTCACTGTGAAATAGTCTTGCTCATCGGTAAAGCATGCAGGGCATTCACGTTCTCAAGAAGAGTGCTCGTATATTGACCCTCATTCTCTGTGATGTGATCTTCCACACACAGTGGCGTTGTCATGACCCTTAGTTTATTGGTGATAACCACCACACTCATGGAAGCTGTAAGCATCATGCCAGCAGAAGGTGTTGGTGGGAGGGATCGTAATGTGTACAGGGTCTGTCTTATTAGTTGTTGGGTTACAAGTGTGAAAGCAAAAGGCTGAACAACAATGATTTCTTGACTGCCTTGTCTCCTTATGAGGACCAGACTATTTTCCCAAGCACTTTTCTTTGGGGTGCTTGTTAAGTCTTGTGGTGTATTTAAAGGCATAGTTCATCCAGAAATGATTTATTCACCCTCATGTTGTTGTTGTTCCAAACCCGAATGACTTTATTTTTCCAGCAGAAAGCAAAAGGAGATGTTTAGCAGGACATATGAGCTGCTCCTTTCCATATAATGAAAGCGGTGGGAATTAAAGGCTGGTAAGGCCAAAAACTGACTAAAACAAAACACCATAACAGTGGTCCATACGACTCAGACACTACATTCAGAGTCATGTGACAGCACTGTGACAAAATATTAAGCCACTATTCACTAAAAACCATGCTTTTAAATCTTGCTTAACATTAACTTTCATTGTGTGGAAAAGAGCAGTGTGGACATTCTGCTAAACAGCTCCTTTTATGTTCCAAGAAGAGACTTTTTTGGCTGAATCATTCATTTAAACGAGTCTTTTTGGAAGTGTAAAATGATTAAAAGTAGTTGATAAAACCAGTTAGTATGCAGCTGTGAGTGTCCTTTATTGATACCCTTTCCATCTGACTGGCAAAGGTGATGTTTCAAAAAACATGTCATCCAATTGAAGATCAGTCTGGTCATCGTGTCTGAAAATTGCTTCTTGAACAAATGTGTCCTGCTAATGAGGGGGGTGCTGTTCTCTTCCAGGACATTTTTCAATTTTAAGTTCTAGTGGACCAGGGGCCGGTTGCACCAGCTGTACGCAAATTACAACTTAGCCTAGTTTTGACATAAATGGGCAATAAGTTACAACTTACGCCCTACTAAATATTTTTTCGTTGCACCATTACACTTAGCTGAAGCGTAACTACGTATAAACTAAATATTTACGGAAGCGGAGATGTGTACTGCACGTTGACGTGGACAACGACGCATAAGTATAAATGAAAACTGACGCATAGCCTACGGCGTAAAGGCTACGGCGTAGGTCCGACGCAGAAGTATAAATCAGCCTTAACGGTTGGAATAACAGGAGTAACGGTTGAAATAAAATAGCAAGACTGAGTGAACTGCATCAATATGCTCTTCTTGTACCCGACAACCTTCAATCCTTTAGACATATATGATGCTGCTGACATTTACACTCACATACATATTACGAGAGAGAACAACAAGTGAATAAATGTACTTTGTTTCTTTTTTAGCGCTTCTTCAACACCCCATCTACAGCACGCCTCTGTGTGCTTCAGTCCGTATTGCGCATATTTTTTTTCTTTCAGTATTTATTGACCCTTATATTATATTCAATTACAGTTTCTGAGTTTTATTTACATATAAAAAAAATAGCTTACCTATAGACTATAATGTTATTCATGATTAAGTATCGTTTTTAATGGAAACTTATTTTTACCGTTAGTTACATGAGGAAAAATAAGTTAGAATGACGGATAAATTGAAATTCACAGTATTTAAACAAGTTCTGCTCACGTATTTGAAGGCTTCTATTGGATCATTTAGGGTAAACATCATATGCGACTACGCATTATTTTACGGAGAGAGCTTACAAACTATTAGCTAAGTCCTGCATTACGAACAACTGGTGCAACCAAATAATTTATAGATTTAGTTACAAACTAGCTAGTAGTTACTAAGCCTCTAGAGTGTGGGCTTAACATTCTAATTTAAGTAAGAACCTACGAATGGCTGGTGCAACCCTACCCAGATGAGTACAGATAATACAGATAAAAGGGCAGTCAAACAAGCCGAACATATCACTAGCAGTTAAGCAGTCCGTACTTTGACAGTCTCCTCAGTCACTATTTTTTGGAGAAATTAACATTTTCTGTTTTGGACCTCAAATAACAAGGAGAAATCAATGTGGTTCAACCTTGTGTACCCAAATGCATTTTCTCACATCATATATATGTGTATATGTAGACTTACACACACACACACATATATATATATATATATATATATATATATATATTGTAGATATACATGTACTGTATGCATAGTAACATAAATTTTACTCTACTAGAGTAAACCTAGTTGTCAAGAGGCTATTAAAAGTCATTGCAGCAGGCTATAGAAGATCCAACAGCAATTGGGAACCTACCGCCAGTGGCAATCCCGCAAAGTCATCAGACAAAACATAGATAAGGAGGACATGGAAGGAAGAGACACAAATTAAAACAACCACACACAAAGGCGATCACATGAGTCTGGGCACACCAGGAGAAATGACTGCTGAGAAGCTCAAAGCTCCTTCTGCTGACAATACAACAAAAGATGTATGTTGTGCAGGACATTGTACTCTGGCATATCGCTCTGATTGTTGTGTATCGTTCTTAATACCTGCGCTAATTGGCTAAGTAAGAGTGACGATTCATTAACCTCTCACATTTATCTGATTAGCACGGGTATTACAATCTATATTTGGGTGTTTCCCTGCTAAAAACAACAGTTTAAATTAGCCTAAGTTGGTATGTTAGCCTTAGATAGTTTAGCTGGTCTCCTAACCTGACCAAGATGGTCTTCAGCTGATCTTCCAGCTGACAGACCAGTTGACAAGTGACCCAAGCCCCTCTAAAACTAACCAGCTTGGTCCAGTTGGGAGACCAGTTAACCACCTTAGGCTGGTTTGTTTTATCCAGAAAGGTTGTGTTGCAAAATATTGATTATATGGATTTCAGTGGCTGTAGCCATTTCTTATTTCTATTTTGAAAGTACTAATAAACAATGCTGGTGGGTAAACATCATATAGCAGCTATAGTATATCTGTTCGCATTTGGTTTGAGGCTGATAAACTGTGACATTCTGGAATTGCACACTAGGTTTTTAAAGAGTGTTGTTAATTATCTGTGTCTGTTCCTCTTCACTGTGCTTTGTGCTCGAAAATCAATGTCTCTAATTTGGGATCTGAGTGGTCTTGGCATGGTCTCAAAGACAGCATCCTTACACCGCGAATTAAGCTGACTTTGTCAATTATTCTGTTAGAAGTGTACTATTGCGAGCATGTTAATGCAATTAGCATGCTAACTAGGGTTAAAGTGCCAGTGTTCCATATAATTTGTGGGTGTGCGGGAAAAAGCGAGCTGCATAAATGTTCTTTCTCCTATTGTTTTCATTATCTACTGTCATTTCTCTGGGTTGATACCACTTCATAGCACAGTTAATCATATGCAGCACTACAAAGTGAATTAAGCTAAATGCAAGAAAAACAGAAAAAAACTGAATACTTTAATGAACCGTTAGCATGCCCAGGTTTTGCAGTCCTGCAATTAAAGTCAGCTGTGAAACAACACCATCAACAGATGACTCCATCTAGAGTTGTCTTATGAACATTCTTAATTTGCATCGTGCATTAATACAATAATACTTGAGGAAATAAATATTTCATGCAACTTCTGATGACTAAAGAACAAGGCTAATCCAACAGCAGTAACAAAATGTTTTTACCTCGGTTTTGATACCATCCTTGACGTCCTTCATGTTGATGGCATTCTTGCCCTTGTCTTTGCCCTTTTTCTTGTTCTTCTTCTTGAATATCAACTTTTTGCAGATGCAGAAGCAGCAGGAAACAACTAGTACAACAGCAACAAATGCAATGGCGACGATGGCCCATGATGGCACTGTGCAGACAAAAACACACAAGAAAACTCAATGTACTTATACACTACGTTTGTAACTCATGCATTACATTTCAGATTTTTTGAAGCCATGTGATGTATGTTTTTGTGAGGAACAGACCAGAATTTAAGTTGCTTTAAAAGTCTGCCTTTTAAATATTACTTTCACTGGAAAAGAGCAGTCTGAACATTCTGTTAAGTTCCTCCCTTTTGGTTCCACAGAAGAAAGAAAAGTAGTCAATGTTTATAAAGATGGGGGTGAGTAAATAGTCGCAGAATTTAAATCTTGAGATAACCATTCGTTTATTTAACTTTCTCCATTCAAGACAATAAAAGCTGTACTCGCATGACTGGAAAGAGCTGTTATCAAGATGGCCACCGAATGAACTGAGCTGACATGATTCCAAACAGCCATGTGCTTTACGGTTCAATATCTTCCAAGAGCAAGGGCGAGAAAAGAAAATGACGAAAAGTTTCAGTCTGTTGTTTGACGCTCTTTGCTGGAGACCTTCATGTCTGCTGGTCGCACGGGATTAACAATCTTCGCTCAGAGAGAGATGTTGCAAGGCTCTAGTGAGAGTAATCAGCCAATTTAGTTGAAAACAGGAGCTGCTGGCATTCACAACTTGCCATTTGATCACTCTTGGAAGACATTTTGAGCTTGAAATTGTTAAAGCAGTCAAGCTCAGCTGTGGATTTATTTGATTGTCAAGGACAGCATGGAACTAAATGAACAGAACGAAAATACTCCAAAACGTATGTTGTTTAATGAGGTTTGAACTTAACAAACAAGAATTTATGCACACTGACCAAATTGCTTAGCCTCTAAAAACTTGTTTTAAAAATATTGTGAGCAATTTACATTCGTGCAGCATAGTGATGGACTTTGTGCTAGAATAACAGAAAATAGTATTTTGTCTTCTGGTCACGACTTTATAAATACAGCTCCAAACTCCAACGAGAGCTGTCAGGGGAGGACAATCGAGCCCCTCAGCTTTTCGACAAGATTAACAGCCTCCTGCCAAGAGAAAGAGCAACGCCTCTATACAGCAGGACTAAAACTGCATGCGTCAACAGAGCACAAGCACCAGATACGGGAATGCCAGTTTTCGAGATGCGAGAGAAACTTCCTCCTCGAACCAACATTTGCTGGGAATAATTGGTAGACAGATGTGGTGGAAGAATTCTGCATTCAGAGACTCATACAGTAATTAAGGCTTTTGCGCACAAAACAACAAACACCTGGCAACCGAATGACAACTTTCAGGGAAGCAGATTTCTCCAGAAAAAAAGCAGATTTTTCCACTCCAGATCTGAATGTGCTTGATTTGCTCTGGGACAATGCAGAGTCAAGGACTGTATAAATAATGTCAGGCTCCAGTGCACGAAAGACATCTTGTATTCTGCTTTTGGGAAGCTAGCAAGCACTCCAACATGAGTACATCTCAAGAAAACTGTCAAGGTCATTTTCCATCTGAAAATCGGAAGAAATAAGAGAGCAATTTTTGCTAGAATTTGAATTAGATTAAATCTTTATTATCCATTCTCATGGAGATTTCATGGTCTTTAAAATAATGTCACAATGAAATCACAAGGTGATATATTAATGACCATAAAATAGGCTTAATTTACAATAAAAGATCTTAATTTACACTCATGGACAAAAATATTGGCACCCTTGGTAAATATGATCAAAGAAGGCTGTGAAAATTAATCTGCATTGTTAATCCTTTTGATCTTTTATTAAAAAAATTCACAAAAATCTAACCTTTCATTGGATAATAAGAATTTAAAATGGGGGAAATATCATTATGAAATAAATGTTTTTCTCAAATACACGTTGGACACAATTATTGGCACCCCTAGAAATTCTTATGAGTAAAATATCTCTGAAGTATATTCCCATTCATATTCACAATTTTGAGCACTCCAGGGTGATGAACATGAAAATATCATTAAAATAACTTTTGGTAAGTTTTATCCATTCTATATTTGAAAAGAAAGTCCCGCCAGGACAGTTGGCATTTAGAACATCGTCCAATATCCTGACAGCCTTTTTCCCTAAATGTCCTCAGTTTGAAGTATCTATTGTTTCTCTTATCGTGGTGTGAGGACTTTATATTTGAATTGGCTGTAGAGAAAAATTGAAATAAATGCTAGCATCTTTGTCTCCCAGAAGGGTTAGACTTGCTACCACAGGACACATTTCCCAAAGCAAGGTCTGAAGAGAGAGCGATTGGGGAAGATAAAGAGTGAGAGAGAAAGAGAGAAAGAAAAATCAATTGGCTGTTGACAAAATCGATAAGCACTCTCCTCTGAGGAAAAACAGTGAGTGATAGTCTAAAGTAACTTTGGGATCATCAGCCCACGGCCTCGAATTGGCTGTGGAGTAATGGAGGGGACAATCCTCCACTTTTTTCCTTTGTTTTTTTTTTTCTTTCTTAGCACAACACCCTTCATTGGACTGCATCACTATATCAATTTATGAAAAAAACAATAATAGATCAATACAATAATCAAATGGTTTTAGCTTATGGACAGACATACAATATGTTCCCAGATGGTTCACTCAAAATTAAGAGCAATTAACATGGATCTCTAGTGTGTTTCTCTCAAATGCATTAGGAAATGTATTACAAATACATAAAATTTCTCATTGTTAAATCCTGTTTACACCAGATTATCAACTAAAATGGTTTGTGAATAGCGTCTCCTGTTGACATTAAAATTTGATTGCTTGATATCTTGAAAAGCTGAGTTTTGCTCATTTAGCATAACATTTCAGCATGTTAAGAGACATGAAAAGAACAAAAAGATATGAAAAAAAACTAAACAAAACACCCCCCCACCAGGCTTTCAAAAAGCTTTTTCCAAAGCCCTGTCATTTCAACTCTTTTCAAACAGAGGAGAATCTGTCAGCCATCTTTAAGGCCACTCTTATTGGTCAGTTGCCCAGCATCTTCTTTGAAAGCTTGCGGCTTAGACCATAATTGCTCCTGAAGCTTGTCTAGCATTAGACCCCTGATTCATACCTGTTAAAACTTGCTCTTTGGCCCACACTTTTTTCTCCACCACTGGCCTGAATATCAACCTGCCAGTGGTCCATCAGTTTTCTTAAGAGTACTATCATTATTAGACGTGTCTTGACAGCTGTGTCATGCAAGATTATATTGCTAGGTTTCATGCAACGTTGTACTTTGAAATGTGCAATTGAATGCCATGTGAAATCGGACCTCCAGCTTGGGAAATCTGTCAGTACACAAGTCGGAGATTTTGCCAAGATGAGTGAGTATAATGTTGCATCACCATGGTGACATCGAGATGTAGACAATTAATGAAAAACTTTCACTTTTAAGCTAATGAAATTCATCAAATGAGTAAAAAAGAAATGAAGTTGGATCTGACTTTGGAATGCAGCAAAATAATGTGCAAAGTAATGCAGCGTTGCATTTAAAGTTCGGAGTTTGAAATTCCGATTTGGGGTTGAACAGAATGCAGCATAATTGATGTCTGATTAGTCAGGTCAACTCACCTTTATTTATATAGTGCTTTATACAATACAGATTGTCAAAGCAGCTTTACAGTATTAAACAGGGAAATAGTGTGTTGATAATGCAAGTGTACAATAGAAAAACACTCAAATGTAGTAGTAACTGATTAGTAACTGAAGCTATAAACCTAGCTATAAAATTACACGTCTAACATGTAACTAGAAATTTTGATTATTTAGAAAAAGATACTGTTAAAACGATATTAAAAACCTCTTGGGTCCAAGGGATACAGGATTCTGTGAGCTCATATTAAAGGTCTGTAAAGGTGAGAACCATTTAGTGCTACAGCAGACACTGAGCAATTCTGACACTTTTATAATTAAAGCTTATGAAAAAAATTATGTTTAATACAACAAGCACAGCTTGAGTCTGAGTAAATTGACTGCTATGAGTACATTAGCTGTATTTTTAATCACACAGTCTGCGGTAGCAATAAAAAAATACTTCTCATATCATGCTTAGTTGTTTAGAAGTGAAATTGCATTGGCTGTGCACTAATAGATGCAAATAAGTCTAATGTTGCGCCGTCCAATGCAATAAACCAGAGTGCTTATCTTCTTCATCGAGCAAATGTCTTATTCTGAAAGACACTTTTGTGTTTCTTAATTAAAAGAACCCGAGACTCAGAAAGCAATAGAAACATTTTCTAATTAACTCAATTGTGTAAGTGTCTATTGTCCTTTGGGATTGCGGAGCAAGCATGTGCTCTTCAACTTCAAGCAGCTATCTCTCGTTCCGCCCTGCACATGCACACACAAACTCTTAACAGGGAGCACAAAATGAGGTTTTGTAGCTGGACTGTGTGACTGCACAGAGAGGAACATTATTCAAATCCAGCACCACTGTGGTGCACAATTCAAAGCCAAACACAGCTTAGAACAATGACACGACAGGAGGTGGATGCCAAAGAAAGTCTGCCATCTCGCTACTGCTTTTAAGGACGTGAGAGTCCTTCTGGCTCGACCCCATCCAATCGAGTGTGTGAATAAGATCTTGAGCACACTCATTCGCTCTCCACCTTTTCCACATCAGCATCAGACTTATCAGACTGGGCTCACACAAAAATCTTACCAAGCTGCTTTAGGAAGCCATGCCAGGGAATCGAGACAATAATGACTCTGAGATTAGCATCTTAGATTTACAAAAGAATCTTATCATCTGCTTGCAGTGCAGGACTGCAAAAGTTTGGGTACCACATTTATAACTATGACTCATGAAAACATCGTAAATATGAATGTACTTTATTGCATGTGCACGATTGTACTTTATCCTGCATATGACAGAATTCTCACAATGAGTTTACTTTTTCAAAACTTTGAATGAACACAATTATTTCTAAATTTTATGATCTTATTCAAGTATCTAAGTGCTGATTGAACTATTTAATCTGCAATGAGATTTTAAATATGCAAATACATTTGCACAACACCCAAATAATAAGAAAAAAAAAAT